TTACTTACTTTGCTATGTGGCTATCCAAAGAAAATATGTTCTTGATATTTTAGAGAAGTTTGGCGTAGAATTGTAAACATCCTGTATGATTTAAAATACGATATTTATAGCAAAATTTGGAGGCTCGCAGTAAACAGACTATCTAAAGGTAATACCGCACTGTAGCCTTTATTGCTATTGTAGGAGAACTTTTTTTTTTTTTGTATTGTAATATTTTTTTAAAACGGAGGGCGAAAAATATATACAGGGTATCCGAATTGTATTAAGGAAACTTACACGGCAGCATATTCTGAAGATAAAAAATAAGAGAGAGAGAGAGTCGTATAAAATGTTATTTTGATCCTAAAACGCTAAGTTTCGAGGATACATGGTGTAGAATTTTCCCATATTATTTCGATTTTTTTTTTAAATTACGTTCCTGAAAGTCAACGTCAATATTTTGGATGAAATTTGTTCTTTTAAAGTGTTAAGTTTGGACAATACAAGAAGTTTGATTTTGATGTCACTAGACTCCTACTTGTAGAGGGCACACCTACATGTGTAATACACTGTTTGAAGCGTAATAACTTTGTCCGTACCTGTATAAAACTACGGAGGGAAAAAATATTATATCCACTGTGACTTCTTAACGTAAAAAATATCCCTTAGTAAAAATCGCTACGAGGCAACCGTTCTTAAAGGAATTATTATTAGAATGGAATAGCGTCAATACACAAATCATATAGACGCAATAATAAACTACAGTTGAGTAATATACAGTTTTATTAGTGAAATATAAATTGAGGAAGAGATTTTCTACTTTTTTAATTAATCATAAAAATTTTTCTGCCAAAAAAATGAAGATAAAACGTTTTGTCTGTTGAACTTTTGGAAAAAAAAAAAAAAAACATTTGAAATGCCAGTGTATACGATCTAATAATAATGTCTAATCAGTCTAAATAACTATTTAGTCAATGTTTAATTTATCGTCAATGGTGACAGTATTGAGATAAGGGTGTCAAATTCCTAAATATCTTTATCGAGACGAGATAAACATGTAAGCGATATTATTCACCTAGAATTATTTTTCACGGAAAAAAATCACGTCGTGAATGTATATATCTTTTACTCAGTTATATTGGGTATTCTAATTTTAAAAAAAAAAAAAGTTATTACACTTCAAACCAGCTAAAAAATATGTAGGTGGCGGGCGCCAGTAGGAGTCATTTTTAACATCAAAATCCAATTTCTCATCGATCAAAAAACTCCAGACACCAATTTTCATCCAAATATTGACGTTTTTTTTTTTTTTTTTTAATTGTATTTTTTAACACAAATCGAAATAAAAATGGAAATTTTCTACACCCTGTAATCTCCGAAACTAAGCATTTTAGGACATATTACATTTATACGAATTTTCTTTTACTTATTTTTCTGAACGAATAGCTGCCGAAGTTTCCGCAGGATAACAAGTTCGGACCAACCCTGTATATATTTTTATTTTATTATAATATTTTTTTTTTTTTTTTTTTTTTTTATTTTTATATATTAACTTATATCTTAGGATTATGTAAAGTGATTGGAAAATGAACCAAAATGCATAAATATAGAGAGTTCCAATTTAAAAAAACAATCATCCAGATGGCACACTACAGTTTTTGATAGCAACATCTATAGAAGTTAAATATTTTCCCGAAATAAATCCTCTTAACGTACTTTTGGTTTGTAGTTAAACAAAACTCTCAAGTTTTTTTTATTTTTAAAATAGATTAATTTTTCCGACCAGCGTTTCTCCATCAAAGCGAATCTAATTTTTTTATTCTGAAAAACCACCCCTGTAAAATATCGACACACTTATTCAGGAAAAAACCTATAAACATTTTATTTATTATTAATTTTGGATTATAATACAAGGACTCATATGGCCCCCCCACCTTTTTAGGATAAAAATATGACTGGAGACAATCTGGTGCAAGAAACCTCTGGATATCCTACCAACTAACGACCGAAGATGTTGGATAATCCAAACTCTAGTCCTAACTTCCAACTTTTATACACGATAATGTGTGTTGTTTTAAATACGCTAGTAATTTTAAGAATAAAGTTACCATCAATATTTTATAACATATGAAAACATAAATAGAATTAATAAATATATTTCCAGCAAATATTTTATTATTTTCATTCTGTTTTAGTAAGTCGACAAAGATAAATATAAAGTTTCTACTTGACATTGTATGGGAAAAAATGCTTAACTTTACAGCTGTGTAACAGTGTAACAATATCTTTTCAAGTGACCACGCCTAGGAACTTACTTAATAATTGTTATTGTTGCATTTTTACATTTTTTAATTTATACCAAGCATAAGGTAACAGCTGCAAGGTTGAAAATATATTTATTACATATTGTATTTTATTTTCATAATTTAGGAAGTAAATAGATATAACTTTTACTTTAGTTGGTTATTGATACTCCATAATATGGTTGTTAAATACACCTTATACAGTGTACCTAGATGTTTCTAGGGATCTACTATATCTAGATCGGATTTTTTTTACACATCATTATTTCACAATAAGATCTATCAATTAAAAATATTTTCCATATGGAGGCACTTCCGGAAACACTGGAAATGACAGCAAGTTTCTTATTTTAAATGGGCATTATAGTCTGTGAAATGAATAACTTTGAATTTGACAGTTCCACTTGGGCTTTTTAGTGTTTATTTTATTAAGTTAGCAACTTGCAGCCATGCTGACGCAATGCCATCTCTAATAGAACAGCCTCTGAGCAGGATTTATGACGTCGCTGGTTAGATACTACGGATTAATAAATATGTTGTAGAATACATGGAAAACATATTGTATTGTTCGTATTTTTTGGTTTTTATTTGAAAAACAAACTTTGATTTTAAAATACAAACCAAAAATACGAAAGAAATAGTTATGTTTTCCATGTGATCTAACAACATTCAATCATAGTATCTAACTAGCGTGACGTCACTCATCAATCTAACTAGGCTGTTCCTAAGACACGGCGTGGTCTGATATTAGAAATGTCAAAAGCTGATGACATTTTACCTTTGACAATTATGACATTTTGGGTTGATTTTTGGAAGAAGAGGGAAAACTGTCACTTGTTTTATTATTTTCCTTTTCTATTTCACGAAAGTAAAAAGAGTTACCTATCTGATTCGTTCAGGCACTCAATTTAAAGAATATCAGTAACTTTTTTGACAGAGGGATTTTATATTTGCCGTGTTGGTAAGAAATAACGGTCAAAATTCAAAGTTATTCATTTTATAGACTATACCCGCATTTTTTATTACATACTTGTTTGAATTGTCTGTAAAATTTTATGAATTTAATTGATATTAAACACTCCTATATCTAGCATTAATCGGTTCTGAGAAAAAAAAAAATATTAAAAATTTATAGGTAAAAAAACTTAGCCACTGAGGCATAAAGAGAAGACATGAGGATATCTTTTTCAAATCAGTACAAACTAGTTTTCAAAAATACATTTGTTTGGTAACTTTATACTTTTCCTAAACATCATTTTAAAGCGTAGGCATAAACGTAAAGCATTTTTACGCCTAAGTCCAAAAGTACAAAAATATATATTAAATTGACATTAAGTTTCAAATTCAACGAGCGGAACCATAGTTTCTCGATATACAGGGTGGTCCGAACTGTATTCCGAAACTTTGGCAGCATATTCTGCAAATAAAAATAAGTAAAAAAGTTCGTATAAATGTATGTTCTAAAATGCTTAGTTTCGGAGATACAGGGTGTAGAAGTTTCATTTTTATTTCAATTTTTTCAAAATAATTTCTGAAGTAACGTCAATATTTCGATGAAAATGGGTGTTTGGGAGTTTTTTGACACGAGAAATTTGATTTTGATGTCAATATGACTCCTACTAGTAGAGGGCGCAACCTACATATTTTTAGCTGGTTTGAAGAGTAATAACTTTTCGTCCGTACCTGTATAAAACTCAAAAGTAGAGTAAAAAAATATTCATTTACGACGCTTTTTACTTGAAAAAGGTCTCTTGGTAGAAATCGTTACGAGTAATGGTCTTCGAGATATTTGGAATCGAAATTATCACTACCTATCATCATTGAATAAATTAAACATGTTGACTAAATAGTTATTAGACTGAAATCATAAATTTGAAATATTTTTGTGTCAAAAATTCAACAGGAACTATTTTATCATATTTTTTGCAGAAAAATTTATGATTAATTAAAAAAAATAAAAATTTCCCAAATTTATTATTTCAGTGAAATAACTATCTACTAAACGTATTTTTTTTAATGAAATAATGACATGTATTGACTATTTCCATTCTAAATATCTTAAAAACGGTTACTTGTAGCGATTTTTACAAAGAGGTATTTTTTATGTAAAAACTCACAAAGATGTATATTTTTTCACTCGGTGGTTTTATACAGGTACGGAGAAGAAGTTATTACGCTTGAAAACAGTTAAAATACATATAGGTGGCGCCCTCTATTAGTAGGAGTCATATTGACATTAAAATTAAATTTCACATATCAAAAAACTCCCAGACACCAATTTTCATCCAAATATTGACGTTATTTTAGAAATTATTTGGAAAAAATCGAAATAAAAATGAAACTTTTGGACATACATTTATAATAACTTGTTTACTTATTTTTATCTGGAGAATATGCTGCCGCAGTTTCCGGAATAACAGTTCGGACCACCCTGTATAATTATTTATAAGGTATTACTTTTAAATATTTTTATATTATTTGCAACGCTTGAAATTGTTTAGAAAATTATTTGTGGCGTTTGAAAATAAATAGCATGTTCTATTCGGAGTAAAAATTACATTTTGTGGCTCACCTGTAATGGAAAACGTACAGCCTCGCTGCAAAAAGTATCATTTTTACTCTTAATAAAACAATATACTATTTCCGACTAAACATTGTTAAACCTCATTTTATAAGAAATAAAATTCAATTGCTAACAATATTATTATCGTTTATTGGTATAAAAAATACAAAATATTGTAGAGTTACTTTATAAGGTAATAAATATTTTTTGACTTTTATAATCGGGCTACATGACAATATTAATGGTATTTATAGGTGAAGTTAAAAACCAATGACTAGCAAACAAGCATAAAAATAATTCAATAATTTCTAGTTGCTCCTTTTCTTCTTGGTACCAAGTTCATATCCGCCCTCAAAATAAGGTTGAGGGTATGGATATGCACCTTCTGGTAGTTTGGTCACTTGGGACAAAGGAACTTGAGCATATTTCACTTCCTGTGGATTAATGCCATTTTTTTCTAAAGCCGGAGCAATGTATCTAGCTTCAGCTAAATTGGGTGGAAGGAACACTTTTTTCTCTTCCGATATAATTTCATTCTGAGTTAATTCACCTGTAAATAAAACCTACTTAGTTTCAGGAAGTGGAGTCTAGAATAGGTATTTATATAAAATAAGAATACTTTTATACAGACGACTTACAAGGTTACGGTAAGATATTATATTTAATATATTACTGTAATCATATTGTGAAAGAAACAGGATCAAAACAGTTATAGAATTACGATATAGTTAGTGTGTCCTATGAATTGCTAGTTAGTTTCTCATAATTTTATTATATATCCATCTCAGACTTAAGTTTTATACATATAAGAAATGATAACAAGAGTAACATACACATGGCCAAAATTATTGCAAATATCGTTAAAAAATATACGGAAAGGAATTTAAAGAATCTTTTTTTATACATAGCTTTGATAATCTGTAATAAACATTTTTTTGTTAAAATAGATATGGTAAACAATGTTTATCGTTCAGACCCAATATTATTACAGATTTTTGCACGTTTCGATTTGTGGTCTCTTGGGTTTCAGAAGAAATTTAACCATTTTTTTGGCCTTAAAATGCCTAAAAATATTATTTCACAGTTTAATAGAGTCAGAATAGCAACACTCTGTCTCAACAGGGCTACCGGCAAGTTGCAATAGCTGAAATTGTAGGAGTTAATTAAAGCGATGTTTCGCGAATATTAAAAAAATTCAGGGAGACAATCGAGGTTACAGATCGGCCTGGAAGAGATAGAAAGAGAGTTACTACTGCTGATGTGCAAGACCGTCAAATATCCCTAATTGCACAACGCAATCCCCTGCTTTCTAGTACTACTATTAAAAATGAGTTAGCTCGCCTTGAAGGAGTAAATGTTTCAAGAAAGACCATAGCAAGAAGACTCCATGACAGAGGATTACATTTAAGGAGGCCTCTACGTGTTCCGAAGCTTAATTTACAGCACAAAATTACTCGACTACAATGGGCTGAGGAGATGAGAGCAAATGGACCTAATTGGAATTTCGTCATGTTTACTGATGAAACAAGAATAGGCCTAGTGTCAGACTCGCGACGAACTTTGGTCTGGAGAGCATCTGGAGACCATCTGGAGCACGCTGGAATGCAGCTCAACCCCGTGTCCCGTTTCAAGGGGGAAGCATTATAGTATGGGCAGGTATAATGCACGGAGCTCGAACTTCTTTTATTTTTATTGATGGCACAATGACAGGTGCCTCATATTGTTTTAGAGCCTATTGTGCGTCCATTTCGAGGGGCAGTGGGGGATGAATTTGTTTACATGGACGATAATGCTCCTCCCCATCGCACTTTAGCGGTTCGCGAATCGATGGGCGGAAGAGGGTATAAGAAAACTGTGGTGGCCACCGATGTCTCCAGATATGAATGTGATCGAGCATATGTTAAAACGCCATATTGGCAAAAGGAATGATTCCCGCCGTACCTTCAATGAAATGAAAATTGCTGTTGAAAGTATCGTTATATGCAATAATTTTCGCCATGTGTATATTAAAATTATTCTAACAAAACTAAGAAATAAGATACAGAAAATATTAATATGAAAAAGTTAAGAAGTTAGTGGTAGAAAAGGTGTACAGAAAGTAGCAGAGAGCGAAGAAAGACAGACAGGATATTATAATCTTACCCATTTTATCATCTATAGTTACACTATCTTTATCCTTATTTTTAATTTTTCGATAAAACCTCGACAATGCCATGCCGAGCACTTGTGGTATTTGATATGTGTTTTGTATATGTTTTGTGTATCCCATGTCTATGAATGTATTAAATATGTAAGTACTAATTTTTATTTATACCAACTAAATAAGTAATTTATACTAACCTACTCTACCATCGGCAGCAATTGTGTTCTGGAATTTTGATACCTTCTGTATATAGGGTGATGGTGTAGATGGACCAGCTTCTAGATACGGAGCAGGGGTACTGCTAACAGGAACTGAGGGTGGTAACAGATAAGACGCTGGTAAAGGAACTGCTGGTCCTCTCAATGGAGCATATTTTTCTAAAAAAAAACACAAATATTAATATAAATCTGATTATACAATAAGTATAATTTCCATACAGGGTGTCCTAAATTTGAATGTGACCACTACTGTATTTTGGAAACTAAAATATACGAAAGAGGTCAAATATATAGCAATAGTTTAATTTCATGTTCAATTAAACCATGTTATGTAAATTAAAAATTCTGAGTACTTCGAAGATGTTGGAAAAAAAGTAAATATTGGGTAGTGTCCATTAACAATGATGTGGTCGAGGACCGCAGTTCGGATTTTGCGTAAAACAAAGTAGGCCCTATTAGTTCAGATTTTGCAGCTAGGGCTAGCAGCAAAAGGAGGCGTTAACTCAACTTTAAAGTAGAAACTTAAAACTAATACGTAGGTTGCTTTTTAAGTTTTTACAATCGCTTGTTTCTTCGGTTGTACTGGATACGTCGCGCGTCGCAACCATTCCATTAGAGGGTCGAAGAATTGTTAATGCGGAATGGTATATGTGTTACGGTTAAGGTCCGATATTCGGTTAATATCGACATTACCCGGTTAATATCGAGAATAACACACAACAAAGCAACCAAAAACAAAACTACATCCAAACATTAACCGGACATAGTACTTTAACCGTAACAAATATATTCCCTACTGTCAAATAAAAGATGCGCGGACAGCGATTTTCATCACCTCAAGACGCGGTTGAAGACTTTCAAAACCATGTTTCTACAGGTGCGTCCAGACCTGACGAGACGAGAGCGAGACGAGCGCGAGATACTCCAAATTTGCGACGGGTCTCGCGAGAGCCTCGCGAGATGACTCGCGGAGTCTCTTTGCTATCCGTCCTCTGTCAGTTTTGCGACGGACGATCGGAGAAAGCTCGCCGCAGAGTCTGGCATGTTTTTGGTAGGCTCGTTCGACTGCGAGATATTAGCTCTGATTTATATGATGATATTATCTCAATTTTTTTAAATGGCACACCGTATGTAGGTATTATCATTTTTTCTGATAGAATTTACAAATTTTGCATCACTGATAATTTTTACCGTACCGAAATGTAACATTTCTTTAACCAAATTGAATTATTACAAAATCTATTAATTTTAGATATATAATATCATATGCAAAAAACGTTACCGAATTATACGTAGAATCTAACAATAAAATAAAACATAGGGTATTCCCAATAAAAAATATGTTATATCCGCAACACTTTTTTGAAGTACCCTGTATACTCTACAGTAATGTTAAAATGTGCTTCTTAACCCACCCAATAACTTTTCCATTTAATATTTTTTTTTAAAAACGAATTATGTAAAAGACGTCGTGTCTCAAAACAAATGAAGGCTTAAAGGAGAAAACAGTCCAAAAGGGAAAAAACCGACGATGAATAAAATACGACCAACCAAATACCATGTTAAAGATACAAAAAATTATTACTCTATGCGTTATTAGTTGACTATCATTTGTTATATTCAACTACAATTTAATATATGTTTGGGTTCCTGTCACTATGATACAACTCGCTTGTCTCGTGGCAGACTTGCCTCAAAAAATGGATAGAAGATATCTCACTCTCGTCTTGCTCTTGTCTCGCTCTTGTCTCGCTCTGGTCTCGCTCTCGTCTCGCACCCGTATCGTCAGGTCTGGACGCATCTTAAGACATCAGCTTCAGAGGAGAAACATGTTTCCAGAATTGGTTTGAGCGTATGCAAAAATGTATAGACCTTAATTTAATAATTAAGGTCATTAAGGGAATATTTCGCAAAGCAATAAAACACATTGTTTCGAACTTGTTCGTTTCTGTTTCACTTTTTTTAAAAACTTAAAAGGCAACCTACGTAACAAATCTAATTATTGTAGCTATAAGAAAAATTTAATTTGGTTAAGGAAATTTGATTACGAGTAAACAGTAAATGAGAATATGATATACATTCGATTATCCAGTCGGATTTTAGAAAAAAATGTTTTTAATATTAGTCTTTTACATTCAGTTTCCATACTTACAAGGATATATTTTTATTATTACCTGTTACAGTTGAGACAGTGCTGGAATATATAACACCTTGCGGAGAAGACGCTACTCCTAGAGGACCACCAATGACTCCACTTACTCCATTATATTCCACTACAGGAATAAATTCTTTTCTTTCGGTAAAACCTGTAATCAATTAAATATCCATACTAAAAATGTACTTTATATTTGATACAAAAATACAACTTTTATTGGAAACAGCTTAATATGACAGGGGTTTATATTATTTATTCATTTTAATGTTAAACTGTCAAAACATTACATAGAAACCAGTATATTTTCATATTTTAGTAAATAAATGTTTTCTATATGACGAACCCTAAAAATCTGTTATTATTTCTACTGTTAAATTTCGCGGAAGCAATCCTTTTAATTTGCCTTGTCGCGAATTAATTCTTAAAATGATTTTAAACGCATAGACCTTTATACTGTGGTACTGCTAGAAACTTATTTCAATAAATATATCGACTAACCTAAAGGTCCTGATGTTAAAGGTGATCCAGGTATAGCAGATCCGTACTCAGATGGTCCAGGAGTGGATGATAACTGGATACGTGGTGGTGGTGCTGCAGTACTAGCCTCGAACGAAATAGCTCCTGGTGGAGGAGCTAAAGTTGAAACAGACACTGATGATTCTGCAGGTAGTGGAATTGGACTTGAGACGAAAACTGGGGCCTCTATTGGTGTTTTTACTAAAGGAATAGTGGCTGTAGCTACAACTGGAGTTCCCACTATTTTAGGAGGAGCGATTATGATCTTGCGTGGTTCTGAAATTGTCCAATAAAAAATAATGTTTAAATAAAAATGCAAATTTAAATGTAATGGTTTTTTAAAAAATACATTATTTATTTACTATCTATCACAAGTAATAACATTTCAATAGAAATAAAATTAATAACTTATTTATTTAATCAAATTTATTATTAAATTGTATTAAAATTTATACACTGATGTTCAGTGCTACCTACAGCAAATTCAAAAAATTATGAAAGGTATTTGAAATAATTACAAAAGACCTATTTTTTAAAACTTTTAACATCGTGTAACATGGGGTGCGGAAATTATGCATTTCCGCACCCATGTTTATAGGAACTTTTTTACATATTTTGTGATGAATCAATGGGTACTTATGGCCAATGCCTTGGCCAGTTAATGACATTAAAAAGGGTACTTATAGCCAGTTAATGACATTGATTAGCCCGGTTCATGGTCGCTACATCGACCATTTTAATTTAACCAATTAATCAGTCGTGTGGAAGTGTATTATCGTCCAGTTTGTTTGCTATGCTTATTTCGGCGAATCTTGGCCATTTAATCAACCATATCTATACGTTGGCCGAATTGTCGCAAAAAGTTAACGTAAGCGGTGGAATATTCGACAAGTGAGCATTGGTGACACTGAGCTCGCTGTGTATCATATAGGTAATAATTGTCATCTAAGAATTTTCTATGCAAATTTCATGTGATTAAAATTTAAAAATATAGAAACAAATGTGTTTGTGACGTTTACTTCTTTTTATTTAGTGCAACAAATTTCAAATTTACGGCTCGGATGATATTTTTGAAAATCGTTAACATATCCTGTATATTTTCGATCATTTCTCATAGGATGCAAGTTTCTAGAAAAACAAAATTTGATTTACTTGATATGGACATATTTTTGAGTAGAGAGCTAACATAGATAATCAAAACGAACTTAATTTTTTTCTTACATTGGATATCTTACATACTACATTTCAGAAATGTCTATAATCATGAATGTTTAAGAGGTATATTTATCTATTTTTCGAATTAAACTATTTACACCCTTGAAATTTTTGCCTTCAGACCGCTATCCCCAAGAATTTTCTTCTAAGTTTTTGTTATAATTGATCGGTCAAGACTTCCTTTTTGTATAGTTTATACATTATACAGGGTTGTTCACCACATACGACACGGAGTATTGTAGCTAAACGATTAGATTCTTGCAAAGAGTTTTGGGTTCGTTGAAGGACTATTAGAGCTTTTAGAATTTAAAAATATTTTTGCAAGATACAGAGTGTACCAAACAAATAAAAAATATCAAAGTTGTATTTTTTTAAACGGAACACCCGTATATTATCACATTTTTAGTTTCTACGATTAAAATAAAGGTTAATTTTATTAAGCTTTACCGCATTTTAATCTTACCGTTTTTGAAATATTCAGGTTTTTGTCAAAATACAATAATAATTTTAGTGCTTCACTTCTCTAGGCGTATTTAAGTTTTTAAAACCAAATATTGTACTGAAGCTTTTCTAATTACTAAATTTTGTGTTGCAATAATAAAAATTTTACTACCTTATACAGAGTGTCTAAAAAATTATTTTAAATAATTACTAACTTTAAACGGCAATAACTTGTTTAATTTTAATGGAACATCCTATATATTTTAGGAGAATCAGATGCACAATTTAATTGTCTATCAAATTGTATTATACCATTTTTTACGTATCTCTTCAAGTTTTCATACAAAATGCATTTTCTTGTAGTTTAGACCTCATTTATCAATATAGGTACCCATGGAATATTGACATTTTAGATTATTTTTAAAGATATAACAAATTTTTAAAGGGTACAGATACTAATATTGTCGATATAGTTATCTATTTTATTGTCGATATAGTTCCATCGATTAGTTGTTTATTTCATTAAAAAAACTGTTGTAAATATTTGTTAAAGAGGACTCATTAATATGATTTCAGTATTCAAACTACATTAATTGACTGTTTGCATTGATTAATAATAATTGCTTCAAATACTAAAAAACTGTATTTTGTATGTGTTTTAGACAAAAAGTGATAAAAAGTAACACCTTAAAAATTTTATTTAATTTTTTGATGAATGCTTGAACAGAGACATTCATTTTCGTAACTTATTATTATGTTGATTTCTGATTCAAATCCACACTGATTTAGAATAATTTATTAACTAATACAATTAAGTGGTAATTAATTAATATTTGGGCGGAAATAATGGTAGTATATTTAATTAATGGTATACTCTTTTATAAAGATTTAAATAGTTTTTTTTGTATACAAATGAACCAGTAATATTATCGTTTTTAGCACCTGTATATTTTTTCCATTGGTTGCTTTAAAAACATTCTAAAATGTCAATATTCCATGGGTATACTGATAAATGAGGTCTAAATTATAAGAAAACTCATTTTCTACGAAAACTTGAGAATAGATAATTAAATTGTGCAAAACTTTGATAGATAATTAAATTGTGCATCTGATTTTCCTAAAATATACAGGATGTTACATTTAAATTAAACCAGTTATTGCCGTTTCAAGCTAGAAATTATTAAAATAAATTTTTAGACACTCTGTATGAGGTAGTATTACTTTTATTATTGCAACACAATAACTGATCAATAAATAAACTTCAATAAATATTTAGTGTTAAAAACTTTGATATCCTTGGTGAAGCCTTAAAATTTTTACAATTCCACAAAATTAAAAATATTTCAAAAACGGTAAAGTTTAGGTGTGATAAACCTTAATCAAATTTACTTTTATTTTAATCGTAGAAACTAAAAATGTCATAATATACAGGGTGTTCCATTTAAAAAAATACAACTTTGATATTTTTTAGTTATTTGGGACACTTTGTATCTTGTAAAAATATTTTTAAATTGTATCTCTAATAGTCCTTCAACGAACCCAAAACTTACAATTTGTAAAAATCTAATGGTTTTGCTTCAATACTCCGTGTCGTATGTGGTGAACAACCCTGTATACATTAGATCATTACATATTATCCATTTGCTTTAACACTCTCGGGTTAAAAAACCACCCCCCACTCCCTCTTTTGTTAACTTTTTGAAAAATGTTATTAAATAGATATGCTCCCTTTGTGTTAGTTTGTATATTTTTGAAGTCAATTTGATCAAACTAGAAAATAATTAAAAGGTTAAGGCAAATTAAAAAAATTGTGTTTATCTCAAGGAGACTGAAATCGACAAAATATCAAAGGACTACTTGTAATCAGTATTAGTATTAAACAGTCTACACAATTTTACTAACAAAAGAAAAAAAGTCAGTAGTGCACACGTTTTTTTAGAAAAATATTCCAGTGATAGCATTCATATGCACGTCCCTTGTGAATCTGATGAACATTATGAGCATTAAAATAGACAGAACTTTACAGTTTTTTTACAATAACTTTTACCCTCAAAATTTCATTTGGATCGCTGAAAGCACTATTATAATCGCCTTAAATCGAAAACGAATTTAATAATACTATGTTGATATAAAAATAAATCTTATTACGTAAGGAATCTCTCCACGAGAGATAGTACATGTTTTTTTCAAACACCCTGTATACAAATTATTACCTGTTATGGTAGTAGAAGCTGGTCCAGAAACAATTGAACCTGACCCCTTTGTAGTAATACTTCCTGACGGCCCTTTCAAGTTAAATTCCTTCTCAGATTGAATACCTTCCGGTTCCGGTATTATCTCGGTTTCAATTATGTGAGGGTCCTGTTCAATAATTTCTACTGGTTTCAATTCGACAGGAGCTAAAGGAACTTCGAGAGGTACTTCAGGAGCGTAAATTTCAGGTCCGTACGCTTCCCCAGTTAGCAAAGGCCCTGGTGGTGGAGGTAGTGGAGCTTCTGGTATTATTACACGTGATTCTGGAATGTAACCTTGGTTTAAGGTAGCAAAGGAAGGCGTGGAGGATAAAATTGGCAATGCAGTTGAAGAAACTATCGGTCCAGCCACATAAACGTTTTCTTCTCTGACTATAGGAACAGCCGGTGCTATAGGAATCTATATAAAACAAAACATAAAATGGAAAAACTTAATTTGATCAAATAATTTTTAGACTTGCTTCAGGTTCAGCGACAATAATAGGTTTCTTTGCCAACGCATCATCTCTGATAATTACTCCACTTTGTTCTTCCGATGTAATTTCACTTCCATCGGGTCCTTTAATGATAGTTTCGGAATTGGGGCCTTTAAAAATGCCGCCTATACCTCCAGGATTTAGTAAAGGTAGACCCTCGTGCGGGGCTGATAAACTCGGGCTGATGTAGACTAGTAGAAAAACGACCACCTATGTAATGAAAACGAATAACCTATATTCCACCGAATTGCAATTTTTAATATAGTTAGAATTTAAGGAGTTTTAGTTAGAATTATTATAGGAAGATCAATAAAGGGTGAGTCTTAAATAAGTGCAAATATCTTTAGGGGTGGTATATTTCGATCTCAGAAATACGCCTGTGAGGTTTTTTTCGCAAAAAAAATTGCAAATTTGGGATTTTTTGAGAAAAAAATAGAATTTTTTAAAATTTTTAGTTATCTTTATTTTATTATTAATACTTTAATTTCTTATTTTATTATATTTTTAGTTATCTTTCTTCTTATTTATTAATCTTCATAATATAGCATCATAGGTAGTATATGAAATTTACAAGAAAGAAAACCCAGAAAAGATCCAGCGGTTCTCAAAATGTAAGTGAAAAATCAATTTTTTTTAAATGTGCAAATGTGTATTTGCACTTATTTAATATAACTGTATAATATAACTTTTTAATAACTGTATAATATAACAAAATTTATTTCAGTAATTTTAAACAGGTTATTTTCTGCAAAACCCCTTACGAACACCACTGACTGATAGAAACAGTATTATTGATTGTAAATAAAAAATGTATTTGTCTGTATACAGGGTGGCCCATTAGTGCGAGTAAGTCCAATATTGTCGAAGATATAAAATAAAGTTTTATAGAGATATTGCGTGGTTTATAAAGGAACATGTCCTAAAAATATATTGTTGTATACAGGGTGACCCCAAAAGAATTAAGAAAATGTTTTAGGTCTTTTTAATTAGTTTTTTTAATTCTGTCTCTAAACGAAAAATAATATACAGTGTGTTACATTATATAAAACATAAAAAATATAGGGATATAGGCATTTTAAATATTGTGATTTTGGCGACACCATAAACAATGCTCTGTATAGGATAATGTAAGTTCTACTTTGCGAATTTAGTCTGTTATCCTTGGCGTTTAAAAAAATATATATTCAATCCAGATTTGAACTACTTTTAGGATATAGTATCCTAAAAGTAACATTATCTAAAGTTTTAAGCAAATAAGGAATAGAATAACAACACCGCATATATGCATCATTTTCTGCTGAATCCAATTATGTACAGAAAAATGGGAGCCTGTAAAAAAATAAAACTGTATCATACCTTTCTTTTAAGACACTCTGTATAAAACAAAATATTTTTAGGATATTGCATATAAAACAATGCAACATCGGTATAAAATTTTTCTTCATATCTTTGTCAACAACGACAATATTAGACTTCCCAATGGGCCACCCTGTATGTTATATTCAATGTCGGAAATCCAGTAAATGTTGAAATCACGAGGAAATGCCAACAATTACGCAGTGGACAAGTGAATGTCTTATTTTAAAGAAATTTATCGACATTTACTCGTTTTATTTGGCATTTATATGTCATTTGTTGAAAACGGTTTTCTAATTATTAAAATTTAACAAAATATATTATTTTTAAGGTGCCCGGTGGCTTAGAGGTACAGGCTCTCGTCTACCAATCTCAAGGTAGTGGGTTGTGGGTTCGAAGTTCGAAACCTACACCCGGCATTTCATCAGCCGACTATTTTTATTAAAATAAAAACAGTTTGGGTACCTAGGTCGACTCAGCCTTAAATGAGTACTTGGGATTCACAATCCTGAGATAATAAGAGGCGGTTCAAGCGTAGTGCTAGCCACATTACCTTCCTTGTATACCGAACGGCTCTAGCATGGCAAGCTGTACCTTGCTACTCCCAAGACGTTAAACGCTATATACGGGAGCTGTTATTATTATTATATTATTTTTATTTACTCTTTCGAGGACTGTAACTACCGGAAGGAACTTTTGGCTTTACTTTTATACGTAGAATCACCAACCGAAGTTAGATACGCTATCTTTTTGACACCCTATCTACATCTAGTAAGACAAAATAAAAAAGTATTTGGATAATAATTTGTGATTGAACAGATGATTAACTTTTATGATTTGATAATTTGTCATTGAAATTGGTAACAAAAATATGTTTTTTTATATTTTACAAGGTGGCCCGTTAATGCAAGGAAGTCCAATATCGTCAATATCGTTATTGACAAAAATATGAAATAAAATTATATAAATGTTTCATAGTTTTGAGAGACGCATATTTCAAAAATATTTTGAAGTATACAAGTTGCACCCTCCATTTTTCTGTACATAATAAGATTCAGCATAAAATTCTGCTATTTTATTTTGAAGCACTATGCGGTTTTGCCATTCTAATTTTACTAAAACTTTGCTTAAAAACAATATATTGAGTGTGAATATAATTTTATTGATGCATCCCTATATTTTCCTAAACACCAAGGATAACAGATAACAGAATAATTAGGAAGGAAAATTAACATTATAATATACAGGGTTTTTATGGTGTCGCCAAATTTGCAATATTTAAAATGATATTTCTCTATGTTTTAAATGCAACACCCTGTATATTATTTTTCGTTTAGATGCAGAATTAAAAAAAATATTGTGGTTTTGCAGATATTCGCTGTACTATATTATATATGGAGTTATCGATGGTAAAATACTAGACAAAAGACCATTAATTAGCTGGATTGGATAAAAATTTACTATTTAAAAAGCTATATACAGGGTTGTTCACCACATACGACATGGAGTATTGTAGCTAAACGATGAGATTTTTACAAATTGTAAGTTTTGGGTTCGATGAAGGACTATTAAAGGTACAATTTAAAAATAATTTTACAAGATACAGAGTGTCCCAAATAAGTAAAAAATATCAAAGTTGTATTTTTTTAAATGGAACACCCTGTATATTATTACATTTTCTAGTTTCTACGATTAAAATAAAGGTAAATTTGATTAAGATTTATTATACTTAAACCTTACCGTTTTTGAAATATTTTCAATTTTGTGAAATTGCAGTAAAAATTTTAAGGCTTCATTTCTCCAAGGGTATCAAAGTTTTTAATACTAAATATTTACTGAAGTTTATTTACTGATCAGTTATTGTGTTGCAATAATAAAAATAATACTACCTTATACAGAGTGTCTAAAAATTTATTTTATATAATTATTAGCTTCAAACGGCAATAACTTGTTTAATTTAAATGGAACACCCTGTATATTTTACGAGAATCAGATGCACAATTTAATTGTCTATCAAATTATATTATACCATTTTTTACCTATTTCTTTAAGTTTCCGTAGAAAATGCATTTTCTTGTAATTTAGAACTTATTTATCAATATACCCATGGACTATTGACATTTTAGATTATTTTTAAAGATTGTCGATATAATTCGTTTATTTCATTAAAAAATAAAAAAAACTGTTAAAATATTTGTTAAAGAGGACCAATTAATATGATTCCAGTATTCAAACTACATTAACTGACTGTTTGCGTTGATTAATAATAATTGCTCCAAATACTAAAAAACTGAATTTTGTATTAGACAGTGTGATAAAAAGTAACACCTTAAAAATGATATTTTATTTTTTAATAAATGCTTATTTATAACAACAGAGACTTTAATTTGATAACTTATTATTATATTGATTTCTGACTCAAATCCACATTTATTTATAATAATTTATTAACAAACCCAATTAAGTATGTAATTAATTAGTATATGGGCGGAAATAATGGTGTTATATTTAATTAATGGTATACTCTTTTATAAAGATTTAAATAGTTTTCTTTTTGCATATAAATGGGCTAGTAATATTATCGTTTAGCTAAAAACGATAATATTACTAGTCTGTACATTTTGTACATTTGTTGCTTTAAAAACAATCTAAAATGTCAATATTCCATGGATATATTGATAAATGAGGTCTAAATTATAAGAAAATGCATTTTCTACGAAAACTTGAAGGGATAAGTAAAAATGGTATAATACAATTTGATAGACAATTTAATTGTGCATCTGATTCTCCTAAAATATACAGGGCATTCCATTTAAATTAAAGAAGTTATTGCCGTTTGAAGCTAATAATTATTTAAAATAAATTTTAGACACTCTGTATAAGGTAGTATTATTTTTATTATTGCAACACAATAACCGATCAATAAATAAACTTCATTAAATATTTAGTATTAAAAACATTGATACCCTTGGAGAAATGAAGCTTTAAAATTTTTACTGCAATTTCACAAAATTGAAAATATTTCAAAAACTGTAAGGTTTAAGTATAATAAACCTTAATCAAATTTACCTTTATTTTAATCGTAGAAACTAAAAATGTAATAATATACAGGGTGTTCCATTTAAAAAAATACAACTTTGATATTTTTTATTTATTTGGGACACTCTGTATCTTGTAAAAATATTTTTAAATTGTAGCTCTAATAGTCCTTCAACGAACCCCAAACTTACAATTTGTAAAAATCTCATCGTTTAGCTACAATACTCCGTGTCGTATGTGGTGAACAACCCTGTATAATACATATAATACCGCAAATGTCTGCCAAACCATTAAAAGTATAGATATACTTTAAATAAAACAATGTTCGTTTTTCAATTCTACAACTAAAAGAAAATAATATACAGGGTGTGGTATTTAAGAAATAGAGATATAGCACTTTAAATATAGCGATGTTGGCGACGCCATAAAAATTACCCTGCAAAATATAATGTAAATGTTAGCTGAGTATTAATACAGTTAAATTCACTCTAGTTTTTAACAAGTTTTCGGATATAGTGTTTTTAACCAGTTTTAGTAAATATAAAATAGAGTGACACCAATAGTGCTGGAATTAAAAATAGCATACTATGTGCAGAATTTTATGCCGAATCTAAATTTGTACAAAAAAATGGGTGGAAAATTTAAAAAAAATAAGACTTTATCATAGCTTTTTTGGGTAATATACAACAAAATATTTTAAGGATATGTCACTTTATAAATCATGTAACACCTGTATAAAACTTTTTTTATATCTCCGAAAACGACGAAGATATTGGACTTCCTCGCACTAATGGGCCACCCTGTATACCGTACAAGCAATAATTATTACAGGGATATGTTTATGATTAACAATAATTAACATATAATGTGACAAATAATTAACTAATTTATAATATTTATAATCAACATAAGTTCGTATAATATCTAGGTTTATTTTTAGTTTCAGTAAACGACTAAAATTATATATTCCATAGGACTAGGTCATGATCACCTAAATTACAAAACCATGTGTATAAAGTACACTGCTAAGAAATTTTCTTATAAATAACGAATGCGTTTTCATCATGCAACTTATGTTAATCCCATAAATATAGTAGGTATTAATAAACAATGTCGTTAACCGTATTTTTAACCTTTTCTCCAAATACTAAATCTTTCTTACGTACCGAGGAACGCTGCATGATTCCCGCACCAAATTGTCGCACAGCCAACCAACAACAACTAAAACAGGATACTTAGAATGACATGCGTTCTCCTTCGCTATTATTTTACCTTATAATCTCTTGTTTTATACCGCTACGAGGCCTTGCTACATTTTTTCCAATAAATTATGTGCTACACTCTGCCACGCCTAGATTTGCTAAAATGCATTTTCATTGCATATTGTCCGTTCTACGCCCGCGAGACTCCGTTCCATTCGGGTACTACCACTTCTGGTCATCAGGATCAAACGTGACTGCAAGCTCCTCGTTTACTATCGTACCAGAAACACGACGTTGTTTAAGGAGGGATCGCTAATGCTAGCTCCAAATAAGTACCTGCCACAATAGTACAATGGTTTAAGTGTCATGATACTATCTTTTGAACTGCCGTGAATTTTCTAATGATTTTTATTTCTGCAAGCAGTAGGAAATTTATTCCCAATCTCCAATTTCCAGGAAATATATAATAATGAAATTAAAATTTTATTCTAAATATTAGTAATTGTTTCATAGTTATATAATGCACCTTGAAGTTAATGTGTCAACTTTCATTAAACATGTGACCAAGTTAATTAGAATACTTTTTTTCTTGAATATTTTGCACATTATCTTATTTTTACTTGTAAATTTTCTAGGTATAAAATGACTAGGTCAAGTAAAAGTTGCAATGTAAATTTATATTTCCATATCACTTGGTTTTTTTTAATAATTTCTTTATCTATGTGGGAAAATAATGACAAATACACAATTATAGCAATAAAGTACTTTATTGAACTCATTTGCTCTAATAAATTATATCATACAAAACACACAATAAACCGGTAACATATTATCAGAAAGGCAGAGTCAGTTCTAGTTAGTAAAATGTTACTCAGATACAATCTTAAAGAAGAACGAACAATTTTATTTATTATATATGTACAAATACTGAATTTCTTGTTTCGTTTTGACTATGTATTCTTCTTTATGGGGTATCTAAGTAATATTTACAAGGGGTTCAGTCGTATTATATTTAGTAGTATTTATGACCATGTGCGAGGGTTGGGCCCCAAACTCCTTCAGCGTGGACGGTGCCGGCAGGTCCAGTAATTGTAGCAGGGACGGCGATTGGTCCAGCTACGGAAACACCATGAGCTCCTGTAAGCGTTAAAAACGAATAATTAAAGATTTGGTTACGCTTTAAGGCGGGATGACACTATCAAAGTTACTTGAACCAAGTACGCTTTAATGCTGCTACATAACTGTATTTATAACAATAATGCGCGCGTCTCATTTTTACCCTGTTTGATTGGAAGCTACTGCTGCTCGACAACAAGCTAAATATTTTTCACATTAAAACAACACTGAATGTGTAAAATGTAAACGTGTATGTGGATTTTTTTCTTCTTTTTTTTAATTTAAACCAGGTATCTTTGAGAAAAATGGACGCCTCTTTAAATATCAAAGTAAGTAGGCTAGCTTCCAACTTACTGGAATGAACCGATCAAATCGACTTTGATAAAACAGTTGCAAGAGTTTTATCAAAGTCAACATGTTGATACCATAAAAACAGTGTCAATCTGAGACGCGCGCAAAATCTATATGTATATATATATTTATATCGCAGCATCGGGTTGACTTGGTCCAAGTACATTTTGACTGTTCAAACAGGCTTTAACTACGTACCAATGGCAGTGCCGGCTCCAAGTCCAATACCTCCTCCAATACCACCTCCTAAACCACCTCCTAAACCAAGAGCAAGGGCGGGTCCAGCAATGAGTGGAGCAGCAATAGCAGGACCTAGAAAAATAAATTAATTTAAAACTGTAATTAAAAAAACGTTCATGTCATTTTATCTTTTTCAACGTACCAGCAATAGCAACACCTTCGGTTCTAGCTCCGACAATGGCAGCGGGTCCAACAGAGGGTCCGACAATAGAAGCAGGTCCAGCGGATGGTCCAACAATAGAAGCGGGTCCGGCGGATGGTCCGACAATAGAGGCTGGTCCGGCCCTGGGTCCAACAATGGAAGCTGGTCCAGCAACGGGTCCTGCGATTGCCACGGGTCCAGTTCTAGGTCCGACGAGAGCAGCTGGGCCTGTAGCGGGTCCGACCAGGGACACGGGGCCTGTAGCAGGTCCTACAAGGGAAGCTGGGCCGGTGTGGGGTCCTACAAGGGAGGCTGGACCAGCAGCTGGGCCAACCAAGGATGTGGGTCCTGCCACAGGACCTGCAAGCCCTATATGACCGACGGCGGGTGCGATTAAAGAAACACCAGCAGTAGCGGGACCAATAAGACCAGCACCGTGACCATAGTAACCACCTGGTGCGGCGGAGGTGATTGACAGAACGGACAAAGCTACAAGCTAAAAAAAATGAATTATTTTTTTTAATAAAACCTAAATAGAAAAATATATTTACCAAACGATTCATTGTTTGTGAGATCTGATGAATCCCCTCGAAGTCTAGACCTGACTGTGTCCCTAACATTGTCTACACCCCATATATATGTGTGGCTAGTTTAATATCTGACCTTCAATATGCGTATGTGATTTCGAAAAAAATATGTATCATTGGCTTTGTGCCGGTGATAATGCACCCGCTTTCATATCTGGTGTCGCTAAGGAAACAAACAACAAACAAGCAACAAAAAATGGGTTGGTAGGTGTAAAAGGTTAGAAAAATATCGGGTTGAGTGAAAAATGCACGTGAATTGATTTATGTGAATAACTGAATAACTGTTCATATAGATATAATTAATGACATACATATGTATGAATTTTTATTTTAGAACAATAGATGTAACAATAAATTAAAATTATAACAAAGAGTAAGAAATACAGGGTAGTACCGTTAGGGTCTCGAAAACTATAGGTATAGGCACGGGGGTGTCACTTGTATGGGAAAACAGGCAACAGTCAAATTTAGACGTGCCAGGACCAACGACAAAGAAAGCAACATCTGCCAGGCATTGGCTTTCTTTGTCACTCACATTGCTTAAATCATGATACCGCGGCCATTTTGCCAACAAAGAAGCTGGCCGGGCTGTCCTGGCAAGTGATTTAAAACAATTTTGCTTTTTACAATATTAAATTACCATTTGGATGTATTTAATGCGATTATTCAGTTAACTGGTAAGTCAGAAATTACACACAAATACTTTATTCGTAAATACAACTAAGATGTAAACGTATTTTTGTATTTTTAGATTTCAACTTTTGCAAAAACCCGCCGATAGAACTTGCCTGGCAGCGTACCTGTTTAACTAAACGTATTATTTCCTGATATTAGAGAACAACGGCATACGGTCGAGTCAGCCGCTGCTGGCACGTATACGTAGACATAAAGAATCTTTTACGTATATAAAAAATAAAAAATATAAGAAATGCGCATGCGTACGTAAACGTTTACGTGTTTGTAAGCCGACTCGACCGTATGCCGTTGTTCTCTAAATATCAAAACACGTAAGTACCTCTATAATTTATGACGAAAAATGATTTTGATTATGTTTTATATTATTTAAATACTTTCTAACCTCAAATACTTAGAGAAGCCCGATTGAAGTAACCTCTTGAGTTTATATTAGAATATGTTTTTTTGTTTCTGTTACACTTATTTTTTATTTGCTTCGTATTGTTCCATTTTATTTAATTGCTTATTCATGTATTCGGCTCCGAGGACATTAATATATTGATTTTCTTAATCTTCTTTCTGATAATTTTTCGGACGCGGTTTTTGAAAAGAGCCAAAATTGATTAAACTATCTTCTAACCTTTTAAAAATGGCTGGGTTTGGTTTCTCGCGCTCTGGATACCGCTCAAAATATAAATCAGCTGCCATTTGCCATTTATTTATGTGGTTAGACTCAATATAACACTCTAACATATTAGATTTCTCAAAATTTTCAAATTTACTCATTTTTTTATTATTTAAAATACACACACTTCAATCTGTTGAAATGAAATGTGCCGCATCCATCAAAGGTATGTTCCGATCACCATGACAAATGACAACGGTTTACTTTGTTACTCGGCGCGGCATGCTATCTACTAAGTGGATATTTTAAGAAAAAATTGAAATGTTGAATAGAGTGTTATATATTTTCCAGAAGCCCATGCCAAGCCGAATAAGAAAATTTAAAAATATACAGGGGGTTCTATTTAAAAAAACATAAGTATAGTTAATATCTCAAACATATTTTTTTCGAAAAAAGTCTGACTACGCCACTGCTTTCTACACAGAAAAGTGCCTTTATAATGTATAATTCATTTTTCCGTGGTAGGCTGAAATAAACAAACTATCTTCAAAAAGTACAAAATTTGAGAATCCCCCTGTAGCTTCGAAACCGATCAAGATAGCCACGATCCGTTTGCGCCATTGTAATTTTTTCAAAAAAAGAACCCGAGACTGCAGTATCAAAATTTCAATATTACTCACGGTTTCCTAGATACCCTATAGAAACAACCAAAATGGTCCAACCTGTACACAGTGGGTTTGAAATATCAGTAGTTTGTAAAAATCGTTTTTTTCAATAATAGGTAGCTTTCGATAGGAATAACAATAACGTATCAGAAATATATTTAGAAACGTATCCAGAAAGAGATACCAACAAGATAGAATATTATTTGAAAAACTGGACGAATATTTTGTAAAGTTTTGCGCTTTTTAAAAAGCAAAAAAGATACATAAAAATTTTTATAAATATCAAAGTTTACAGTCAAAAAAATTATAAAATATTAAAGACATGTCATTATAAGAAACTTGTCGTTTGCAATATTTTATTAAAGGTCTTGTATACCGGATGCGTCTCTAAAAGTGGCTCACCCCTATAACTTTTATTTCTTCATATAAAAAAACAATATATAACTCTTATTTCTTCATATAAAAAAACGAGATTTGGTATGTTAGTATAGATATGACATAAATTAGGATAGATTGACGTATTCAATTGTTTTCGGTCACTTCCCGTTTCACCGGAAATGACTACAACTTTTGATTTTTAATTGACACCCTCGGTATGGTATTTTTTTACTTTATTTGATAGAAAATGACACTCTGAATAGATTGGCATATCATATGTCAACTTTTGACATTCTCGTTTAAAAAAATTGTATTTTAAATTTCAGTTTAGAGTGTGTCTGAATCCATGGCTGTGTTAAAAACACTAATAATATTTAATCAAGGAGCCTTGGTAAAATACATTTGATTGTCTAATATTTTTCATCTCTTGTGGCATGCTAAAATATGCCAAACTCGTATTTTTAATCATATCTCAACTTTTTCAAATGGAACGAGGGTGGCTCATTAGCATATTTGAAAAAAAGCATTTTTTTACGAATAATTTGATACCACACACTTGGTGTTTCGAGTCAAAGTGTAGTCACATTTATGGCCATGGCACTCTAATTAAAATCTAAAATGCTATTTTTTTAATTGAAAATGTCAAAAGTTGACATATGCTATGTCATTCTATTCAGAATATCATTTTCTATCGATTGAAGTAAAAAAATACCAAAGGTGTCATTTAAAAATCAAAAGTTGTAGTCAATTACCGTGAAACAGGAAGTGACCGAAAATAATTGAATACGTCATTCAATCCTAATTTATGTCATATACTAATATACCAAATCTCGTTTTTTATCTGAAAAAATAAAAAAGTTATAGGGGGTGAGCCACTTTTGAGACGCACCCGGTTTAAAGATGGCTAGAAATACTCAAAAGGTTTTCTAACTATAGACGCCATAAACTTAGAGGTAACCCACAGAATGGTCTTAAATAGAGATGAGAGATGGAAACGACCAGGCACAGTGACTTCCTTCCTTATTTAGCTCTCATTCGCTTCAAAAAAATGAGCTGTCAAAATATTATAATAAGCATTTTGAACGGCTAGGAAACTATAGATTTGAGTACGTTTTTTTAGATGTATAGTCAGTAGAACTACTAACTAGACTGTTACATATTGTTACAAATTGGTTATTAATTACTGTGTCCCTCTTATAGTTTTATATTTTTTTCTTATATAAGCTTTATTATAGTTTACGGGCGTAAAACTTTATACGTATACGAATAAATTTTACATTGAGTCAGTCTGAGCTTGTTTGTTGGGAAAGGTCATATTAAAATTCTTATTAACATTACAAAAAAAAACAAGAAAAGATTACATAAGTTCTGATAATAGTATACTAATTAAGGTATATAAATTATAATAAAGTTATCCATAATTAATAGTATAAAAAATATTTATACCTATGTGGCGGATTCATCTTTCCAAAAAAATCCTTTATGGGTATTTCGCCACTGCACTGCAAGAAAATACTGGTTGTCAGAAGTTTACAGTTATACAAATTTGCCTAACAAAGAAAAAATGCTTAACGTTTCGGAAAGTTTATTTCTTTCCGTAAAAAGCAAAAAAAATACAAAGAATAAAGAAAAAAAACTATTTAAAATATTTAAATTCAACTATTCGAGAACACTTTCCTTTTTTAAAACAGATACGTCTACCAGAAACCGTTTTTCATTTTTGCTTCCGACGACGGAAAGAGCTACAACTTTTGATTTTTAAATGGCACCCTCGGTATTTTTTTACTTTATTCGATAGAAAATAACACTCTGAATAGAATGACATATCATATGTCAACTTTTGACATTTTCGCATATGGTTTATTTGAAATTATGACTTGCGGTTCGTAACGTAAATTTGACGCGAAATACCAAGTGTGTGTTATCAAATTATTCGTAAAATAATATTTCTTTTATTTATTAAAGTTATTATACCCTGTGAAACAGGAACTGACCAAAAACAATTGAATACGTCAATCAATCTTAATTTATGTCATATACTAAGATACCAAATCTCGTTTTTTTATCTGAAAAAATAAAAAAGTTATAGGGGTGAGCCACTTTTGAGACGCACCCGCTATATGGTAAAAATAAGTGCAACCAAAACGGGGAATAAGGTAGTTTATTAATATCTAAAACAACCAAATTTCTTGTAGTCCTTTATTGAACACATTTGCAAGTAAAATAATTTATATAATATACAAAATATACAAAAATAAAAAAGGCAATAGGTACATAAAAACGGCACATGAGAATCAGGTCGACCCCCGAAGTGTAAAAACTTCCCCAGATAAACTTAAAGAAGAAGAATTCTCTGTCAATATGAACTACAACGATTCTTCTACCGAAACCATCTGGAGATTATTTACTAGGGAGCATTGTCTTCAGAGTATTGGCGGCACTTTACCAATGGCCATGATGACCATGACCATGAGCTAGGGTTGGGCCCCAAACACCTTCGGCGTGAACGGTACCTTCAGGTCCGTGGATGGTGGCTGGTAAAATATTTATACTTATTTAAGACTCACCCTGTATAACGTGTAGATAGATATGTTAACTTTAGGAGTCGTTAGATATACTCAATACCTAACTAAGTCGAGGGCTAGGTATATAATAATAATTTGTAGCCAAAAAACTGAAATATAAGTTGTAAATATCAGGGCAACCAAAACGGAATAAGGTAGTGTGTTAATATCTAAAGCAACCAAATTTCTTGTAGTCCTTTATTGAACACATTTGCAAGTAAAATAATTTATATAATATACAAAATATACAAAAATAAAAAGGCAGTAGGTACATAAAAACGGCACATGAGAATCAGGTCGACCCCCGAACTGTAAAAACTTCTCCAGATAAACTTTAAGAAGAAGAATTATCTGTTAATATGAACTACAACGATTCTTCTACCGAAACCATCTGGAGATTATTTACTAGGGAGCATTTTCTTCAGAGTATTGGCGGCACTTTACCAATGGCCATGATGACCATGACCATGAGCTAGGGTTGGGCCCCAAACACCTTCGGCGTGAACGGTACCGGCAGGTCCGTGGATGGTGGCTGGTACGGCGATGGGTCCGGCAATGGTCACTCCATGAGCCAATCCGTGTCCGGCTATTCCTGCTCCAAAAAATACAAAGAATAAAGAAAAAACTATTTAAAATGGTTAAAAAAAAAAAAAAAAAAAACACTTTACTTTTTTAAAACAGATACGTCTACAAGAAACCGTTTTTCATTTTTGCTTCCGACGACGAAAAGAGCTTTTGATTTTTAAATAGCACCCTCGGTATTTTTTTACTTTATTCGATAGAAAATAAAACTCAGAATCGAATGACATATCATATGTCAACTTTTGACATTTTCGCATATGGCTTATTTGAAATTATGACTTGCGGTTCGTAACGTAAATTTGACTCGAAATACTAAGTGTGTGGTATCAAATTATTCGTAAAACATGCTTTTTCCAAATATGCTACCCTCATTCCATTTGAAAAAAAATGAGATATGATTAAAAATACGATTGAGTATTTTTTAACCAGCCAGGACAAGACACTAAAAATATTTGACGATCAAATCTATTTTCCAAGACTTGATTAAGAATTAGCGAGAATGTCAAAAGTTGACATGTGATATGTCATTCTATTCAGAATGTCATTTTATATCGAATAAAGTAAAAAAATATCAAGGGTGCCATTTAGAAATCAAAAGTGTATTATTTAAAAGAAAAATATTTTCAGATAAAAAAAAATTATTTCTTTTATTTATTAAAGTTATTATTTCCGGTGAAACAGGAAGTGACCAAAAACAATTGAATACGTCAATCAATCTTAATTTATGTCATATACTAAGATACCAAATCTCGTTTTTTTATCTGAAAAAATAAAAAAGTTATAGGGGTGAGCCACTTTTGAGTCGCACCCGGTATATGGTAAATATAAGTGCAACCAAAACGGAAGAAGGTAATTTATTAATATCTAAAACAACCAAATTTCTTGTAGTCCTTTATTGAACACATTTGCAAGTAAAATAATTTATATAATATACAAAATATACAAAAATAAAAAAGGCAGTAGGTACATAAAAACGGCACATGAGAATCAGGTCGAACCCCAAACTGTAAAAACTTCTCCAGATAAACTTTAAGAAGAAGAATTATCTGTCAATATGAACTACAACGATTCTTCTACCGAAACCATCTGGAGATTATTTACTAGGGAGCATTGTCTTCAGAGTATTGGCGGCACTTTACCAGTGGCCATGATGACCATGACCATGAGCTAGGGTTGGGCCCCAAACACCTTCGGCGTGAACGGTACCGGCAGGTCCGTGGATGGTGGCTGGTACGGCGATGGGTCCGGCAATGGTCACTCCATGAGCCAATCCGTGTCCGGCTATTCCTGCTCCCAACCCGAGTCCCCAGGCTGGTGCGGCAACGGGTCCTAGAACATTATATATTGTTTATTACAATTGTTATAAAATAAAAACACAACAAACATCACAAAAGTATTAATTTTTGCGACGTGATTGACAATAGAAAAAAGTCATTTTAACGCCTATGCATAAAAGTACGAAGATATATATATTATTAAACTGACATAAAGTGTCAAATTCAATGATAACTTTTAACAATAGTTTCTCGATATACAGGGTGGTCTGAACTGTATTCCGGAAACTTCGACAGCATATTCTGCAGATAAAAATAAGTAAAAAAGTTCGTATAAATATATGTCCTAAAATGGCTTTGTTTCAGAGATACAGGGTGTAGAAGTTTCATTTTTATTTCAATTTTTTCTAAGCAATTACTGTAGTAACGTCCATATTTGGATGAAAATTGGTGTCTGCGAGTTTTTTGACATGAGAAATATGATTTTGATGTCAATAAAACTCCTATTTGTAGGGGGTGCCACGTACATGTATTTTAATTGTTTTGAAGAGTAATAACTTTTTATCCGTATCTGTACAAAACTTCTGAGTGAAAAAAATTACATTTCCGTTATTTTTTACGTAAAAAATGTCTCTTTATAAAAATCGTTACGAGTAATCGTTCTCAAGATATTTAGAATGGGATTAGTTAATACATGTTATTATTGACAAAAAATAAACATTTTGAGAAGATAGTTATTTGACTGAAAAAATAAATTTGGGGATTTTTTAGTTTTTTTCTTCGATAAAATGATGATAAGTTCTGTTGAACTTTTGGCACAAAAACATTTTAAAATAATGATTTCAGTCTAATAACTATGTATTTAGTCCACGTATTTAATTTTTCAATGATGGCAGGTATTGATATTTTCGATTCTAAATATCTCGAAAAACATTACTCGTAGCGATTTTTACCAAGAGATCTTTTTTACGTAAAAACATCGTAAATGTACATTTTTTAACCTAATAATGTGATACAGTTACGGACGAAATATTATATTACTCTTTAAACCAGTTAAAAATATGTAGGTGGCGCCCTCTAATCGAAATAAGCATAGCACTTCTATACCATGTATCTCTGAAACTAAGCATTTTAGGACATATGTATATTTATACGAACTTTTTTTTCTTATTTTTATCTGCAGAATATGCTGCCGAGGTTTCCGGAATACATTTCGGACTACCCTGTATACAGGGTCGCTGATATGTATGGAAACGGTCGATTATTCGGTAAAAAGGTAACATAAAAATTATAGGGTTTTTAAATTTCTATTGGCGAGTAATAAATTTAAGTATACCTACAGAGTCGGTAGTAAAGTCGTGGCACATCAAAGTTTCCTTTTTTAAATGGAACCCCCAGTATATATATAGAAATACAAAAAAAAGTAAAAATAGAAATACACACAATATACCCCAAACCAACCATTTTCGAGTTATTGACTGTTGAAAATATCACTTAAACCATTCGATTTAATTAATTTCGATGTGTTCGGTTTCATTTAACGATGCGGAAACTGTGATATATACCCAATAATATAAAGGAGATTTCATTTAAAAAAATGAATTTTGAGGTACCACGACTTTATAACCGACCCTGTATAATTAAAATTATTACCAGATGTTAGGCATTTAAAAACCCTGTAACTTTTGTATTTAACTTTTTGCGGGACCTCGTATACTTTGCCCAATAATCGACCGTTTCCATACATATCAGCGACCCTGTATAATTAAACCGTTGATTGAAGTTTCAATCAACGATTAAACTGACATAAAGTGTCAAATTCAACGAGCGTAACCATAGTTTCTCGATATACAATTACTTACAGGGTGTGACTTTTACATTTATTTATATTATTTGGAACGTTTGAAATTGTTTAAAAAAATTACGTAGCGTTTGAAAAAAAATAGCATGTTCCATTCGGAGTAAAAATTACTTTTTGAGCCTCGCCTGTATGTCAAACGTACAGCCTCCCACCGAAAAGTATCATTTTTACTCCTAATAAAATAATATATTATTATTGAAGGAGATGCCTATTATTGGGCCCATTATACGCCTTATTGAAACTTCTTTACACGCGCTGAGATTTAGACATTTCTTCAAGACGGTATTACGCGACTGTAAGAAAATTCTCGAATAGTTTTAATCTTATTAAAACTATTCTTAAATAGTTTTATTTCGATAATTTAAATAGTTTTTTTCTTTGTTCTTTCTGTTTTTTTTTGCTTCCGTTTTTTTTGTGCGTTAGGTAAATTTGTTTTATTTGTAAAATACCGCTGACAAGATTTTCTTACAGTCGCGTAATACCCAGAAAACCTTTTTTTACAAAATACTAGTGCTAACAACTACTGATATTGCTTAGAATACCCAATAGAAGAATTACTTACCAACTACGGCGGCGTGTCCAGCGGCAGGTCCGACAATAGCGGCGTGTCCGGCGGTGGGTCCAACAATAGCAGCGTGTCCGGCAGTGGGCCCAACAATGGCGGCGTGTCCAGCTGAGGGGCCTACGACAGCAGCGTGTCCGGCAGAGGGTCCAACAACGGCAGTAGGTCCTGCAGCTGGTCCTACGACTGAGGCATGTCCTGCGACTGGTCCTACGACGGAAGCGTGACCGAGGGCGGGTCCTACGAGGGAAGCGTGGCCAAGAGCGGGTCCTACAAGTGCGGCTCCGTGACCGAGTGGTCCAGCGATGGCTACTCCGTGTCCGGCCCAGCCGTGGTCCCAGTGACCTGGGGCGGCGGTGGCTACCGAAAGGATGGCGAAAGCGGCGATCTAAGAAACAAGAGAATCATTATGATATAATATTCATGGTAATTTTACAGTGCTTGTATTTTAATTGTTATAGATACAGTTTATGATAAATTAATATTCTAATTCAGAGTAGATATAATCTATGATTTTGTTGACACGTCGTTGATTATACCGGGTGCGTTTCAAAACTGGCTCACCCCCTATAACCTTTTTATTTTTCCAGATAAAAAATCAAGATTTGGTATGTTAGTATATGACATAAATTAGAATTGATTGACTTACTCAATTGTCTTCAACTTTTGACATTTTTGAATATGGTTTATCTGAAATTGCAACATGCGGTTCATAACGACAATCTACACCAGGTGTGTGGTATCAAATTATTCGTAAAAAAATGCTTTTTTCAAATATGCTGATGAGTCACCCTCGTTCCATTGGAAAAAAATTGAGATATGATTAAAAATACGATTTGAGCATCTTTTAACCGGCCAGGACAAGACACTAAAAACATTACACGATCGAATATATTTTTCCAAGGCTCCTTGATTAAAAATTAGTGTTTTTAACGCAGCCTTGGCAGTTTAGATTGTAATTTAAAATTAAATTTTGTTTTAAGCGAAAATGTCAAAAGTTGACATATGATATGTCATTTTATTCAGAGTATCATTTTCTATCGAATAAAGAAACAAAATACCGAGGGTGCCATTTTGATATCAAAAGTTATAGTCATTTCCTTATGGAAAAGAATTGAATACGTCAATCAATCTTAATTTATGTCATATACTAACATAGCAAATCTCATTTTTTTTAAGCAGAAAAAATAAAAAAGTTATAGGGGTGAGCCACTTTTGAGACGCACCCGGTGTAATATATTATGAAACCTAAGGAGTTTAGTAGAGATTGCAACAAACGGTTGAATCCTAAGCAATCAAAGCACGCTTGTCGAGACAGTTGCCTAACTTAAAGGATATGAGTATGGCAAAATTGTTATTAGTGTTTTATTTTGCTCTGTAATCAATAGGTATCTAAAAATATTATATTAAACTAAAAAAAATAAAAAAAATTCAACAATTTTTTTTTCACAAAAAAGCTCATAGGCGTGTTTCTGGGATCGAAATATCCTATCAGTTAAAATATCTGCACTTATTTGAGATATTCTGTATATTTGAATTAGTTTAACAAAACACTAATACATTTTCTAAAGAATTGAAACAATCTTGGAATTTTTTATGCAGGCTGTTTGTTCCCTTTTAAAAATAGTTTAGAAAAAATATTCTTAGGCACAAATAAAAATTTGAGCGCAAGTTAATTTAAAAGAAAGTAATTATTTTATTACTAAGGAAATAAAATAAAAGAGAAGAATACTGTTATTTAAATTTTGACATAATGTTTTTATTTTTAATTTAACAAATGTGAATCAGAATAAATTAGTTTTATATACAGGGTGAGTCTTAAGTAAGTGCAAATATTTTTAGGGGTGTTTTTTTGGTGTTTTAAGCCTATGAGGTTTTTTCTCGAAAAAAAATTGAAAATTTGGAATTGTTTTTAGTTTTTAGTCAAAAAACATAATTTCTTGATAATATGGCAAGAAAGGCAATAGATTAAATTTGCAAGAAAGAAAACCTATCCAGTGGTTCTTCAGATTTAAACAAAAAAATGATCTTTTTTAATTTTTTAAATTAAAATAATTGGCTTATTTTGGTCTTATTTAAAAAACAGTAATGAAAAAATATGTTTCTTTTATCGAGATCTACCAGCCCTGAAAATATTTGCACTTATTTAGACTCACCCTGTATAATAAAAGAATAAATAAATATATCTATAGAAAATTTTATTATTTAAAATATTATTTAAAATGTAGAATATTAGTAAGCTTCGCGAAAAAAAGTCAAAATTAGTTTCTTATGTCTATTTAAAAAAATATATAATAATGAATTAAATTCATTCTAAATATGTATGAATATGTAAATATTTTTCTACCCTGCAGAACTAATAATTTCCGTAAATTTTCCGTTTTTTTTAACAAGAACATAAATTATTAGCAGTGATCCTTACCAAACGGTTCATGTTTATAGTGCGCGAAGCGTGGCGACCCGGTCTATGAAGCTCGACTTAACTGTAGCTCAAACTTGAACCATACCCCCGTATATATAGTTCGATCTTCGACCTTCGATGGTCTCGGTGGTACGCGGAATATGGCTCCTGAAAATATCTAGTTAGCGGGGATAGCAGACGGGTAAACTTAGTACTCACTGACTCAACCCTGTTCCGTTTTGCATTGTAATCGACCACCGTGACAATCGCCTTCGGTCAGATCCTTTAATCGATCTTTTTTTTTTGTCTCTCCAAGTTCAATCGAGCTTTAACAGTTTTTGTTTCAGATCTATTATTCTTGGTTACTTATATGAATTAAATTTTAATTGATTTAGATAATAGGAAATGCATGAGTTATGCATTTTGCTGGTGCAAAAAATGCTTATTGCCTTTTAGCTTTATTCTAGGAAGACATGAACATATACCACACAAAATAGATCGATTAAATAGATTAATATGAATAACAGGTAGAAATTGTATTTCGGTAATTTTGTAATTAAGCTCCTAAAAATGTGTATTCAAAAATGATTTAAAATTAAGAAAAATGTTAAGGAAGGAGTATAAAGTTATCCATGGATTTATGCATGATTGACGGAATCGACATCACAGGTCCCTATCTTTGACAGCTCTGTTTGACATTTGAATTAAAACATTTGAATTTGATATGCAATTTTGAGGATTGAGCTTATTTTATGTTATTTGTCATTTATTCTACAAATGGTAGTTGTTTAGTTTACCACTCAAGAAAGGAGGACACAATAAGTCTTAAAGGTCGCTATGATTAACCTCCCTTCTAGGCAAGGATTATCGGCATCCTGTCTTAGTCCAGAGCCAGTACTGGGAATACCCACATGTATGGCCAGTAGTGCACTAAAACTCTGGATAAGGGAAAAGCAGAATGTCCAAACAGACAACGGCACAGGCACAGCAAGGCCATTATTCAATTCTCTAAAACCACAAAAGAACAAACAAAGGATTAAAATGGGGATTACAACGGGCCTCTTGACAGGACACATGGCTGTCAAGTGTTACCTGAACAAGCTCAACCTGTAATATGAAGAAAGTCTTTGCTGCAGACTCTGCGATAAAAATCCTGAAACAGCGGAGCACATAATATGTCACTGCGACGCTCTGCATTGATTCTCAATTTGAGCGGGCCGAAAAACGTTCTTTACCATCTTTTGACGGGAGATGCACTAATATCTCACCGACACTTTACGACATCGTCTGTAGATATAGAAGAAGTTTTGCTTGCCGTATCGGTGAGAACCAGCCCCTGGACAGCCCACCTGATGAAGGGTAGGCCCAGAAAGAATTAAAAACGGTGATTGTCCAAAAATTTTAAACAATCGTGGGATCCATATATCAGAGGTTATATAGTACATTGATCGATACGAAAAAAGGACACCTTAACATTTTTATAAGTTTTAAAGTTCTAGAAACACTAGTTCTACCAACTAGAACAAAAAATATTGAACTTTGATAAGAAATATATAGGCTGAAATTTGCCAACCCTTACTTTTTGTGCTATAAGGAATCGCTAAGAATAATCTCCAACCTCCCTCCTTCCAAATAGGTTATATGTTCAGATTAACTAAATGCATTATAATGCCTCAACGAATTATCATAAAAATATCCTCCAGCCATTAAATCGCTCGACTTGCATCACTCCTCCATATCTAAAGGCTCAACTGTAGATCTAGTATGGATTCCTAGCCATGTGGGCATAAGTGGTAATGAAGATGCTGATAAGATTACTAAGACTCCGGCGAATGATGGAGATTTTATACCACTCGCATTTTCTATCTCTGAACTAAAATTTTTGGTTTGGTCTAACCTGTCCAAAACGAAAAGTGATATTCAGGCAAAGTGATATTCAGGCAATAGAATAAAAGTGATACTCAGGCAATAGGAGACTCAAATAAACTATATAAATGTAAACCTCAATTCTTCCCAGCTCCTGTTAGTACGAGAGCTAGCAACGTCGGAAAAACAAATATTTTAAGACGTCTGGCTCTTTGATATATCTTTTACTATGCTTTCTAGAACAGCATGTTGGTTGCCGGTAAACGTTGCGTTCCTTACTGCGCATTGAAAGAAGATCCTATATTTTCATTAGTCCTTTAAATTCTAATACTGAATATAAATCGAACATGTCTCCATAACACAGTGCGTCAAGTTTCCGACCACGAACCGATTATTCAGAGTTCGAAAAGTTATTGCAATTATTCAAAGAGTTTTTTATTTTTTTTTTGTTTATATTCTGATAGTAAAGTATTAAATATTTGTTGTTTTTTTAATTACCAGAATTATTTAATACTTTACTATCAGAATATAAACGAAAATAAAATAAAAAAGTCTTTGACCTGACCCGGATTCGCACTCTGAATCATCGGTTCGTGGTCAGAAACTCTACGAACTGCGCTATGGAGACATGTTCGATTTATATTCAATACTAGAATTTATAGGACTAAATTAATAAAAAATATAGGATCTTCTTCCGATGCGCAGTAGTGAACGCAACGGGTATCGGCAGCCAGACGGGCCGCATTCTCTTTCAGAGAGCATAGTAAAAGATATATCAAAGAGCCAGACGTCTTAAAATACTTTCTCGAAAACGTTGCTAGCTCTTAGACTATGTAGTTCGGTCATTATCCAGAAATGAAAAAGCCATTTGGAATCGGCTCAGATTGGATTGTTATTTCTCGCATTATTTTTTTTAAAGGTAACCCCCGCCTATCTGCTCTCTTTGTGGTAACCAATTAACAGTGCACCATCTCCTAAAAGATAGTCCCTCCTTTATTAACTTAAGAAAATCACTTGGTCTGAATGTTGATCTGGATTCCGTAGTTAATGTTAATAATCTACAATCTTTGTTCCAATTTATTAGGATTCATTGGTTTGGGTTTATTAATATAGTTTAAATTAACTTCAATTTGATCAATGCCGCTAAATGACTTAGCAGCTGATGAAGCTTATACAAAATCCTTATTCTTCTTTTTCTTCGTCATTTTTTTGCTTTGTGTGAAGGTGTTCCAAATAGCAAATACCAATTACTCTTAAAAATAGCAAGCGTGGAGTCTTAAAGTCCCATACGCTCTATGAGTTTATGCGGTTTATCAGTCCATCTTGTAACTCTATAGCCACTATAGGTTGATGCGTCGATTTGATGCGATGATGTTTCTATGCAATGCGTTGTGCCGCGGTTTGACTATAAGCCGGTTTTTAGAAAAAAACCATCAAAAGAAATATCATGAACACAGTGGACGAATTTCCAAACGTACTAACGAATCACACTGAAAAACCGCATCATACCCACTATGCGTGCATCTTCGTATCAAAGCATCAAATTAACACATATGGGGCTTCAGAGTTCGAGAATTGGGAAAATGGAAAAAATAAGTGGCATAAATTCAGTAGCATAATTTGCACAATAAAAATATACAGATTTACATTCTTTTACATTCGATTTATTTTAATTCTCATCCAAGTGCTTTTAGAGATTGCAAGAAATGTTTGAGAGTAAAAATACTATAAATGCAAATATGGTAACTGTCCCAGCTATCGTCACATTAAGAGAATATCTCAGTTCAGTTAGCTATAAAATCCGAATTATTAGTATAAGGCTTATAAGAAAATTAAATATCACACTAGGGGATATTTTTAATTAAAATTTAAATAAAACTTTAATAACTTGACCGATATTTTCGTTTATTTTCAAGAAAAACTAAAAAACTACAATTGTCCTAAATATCGTCACCAACTTGTTCCAATTTTCTATATATGTTATTTCACACAAAAAACATTGTTTTTTACAAAAGTTTATTTAGAAATTGCGACACATTGCAAAAAATGAAACATAAACAATTAAATAATTAAAACAATAAGCATACAAAATAAAATTTTAATTAAGAATATTTCCGATATCAGCTCAAAAATAATAGTGTAGTGATAATTAGTGAATGCAAAGTATTAAACATTTTTATAAAAAAAAACAGTAACATCATATTAGTAAATATATGTATACTTTTTAATTAGTAAATAAAATTTTAACGTGAGAAATTAGTTTTACTTTGGCATATTAGTTTAAGATATAATATCACGTATATCAATAAGATATAATATCATAATCAGGTATATCATAAACAATTCTTTTATTTTTTTTTAGTTTTTGTAACAATATCCTTTTTAATGTAGTCCAAAACATCTTCCGAACTCTAATATTTCCCATTTTTAAAATCACAGGTATTTTACAAGAAGCCTATATTAATGTAGCTTACATGTTTAATGGCCTAAATTCCGTCGCAGACATCCAGTTCTCGTCATCCATTTTTAATTGATAATTTAAGGTGGAATTAATGATAAAAGTGGGCGACGAAAATTGGGCACATTAAATAGAGCATTTTCATACTTCCATTTATGGAAAGAAATATTTAAATTATAGAAAAATGAATTTATACTGAATAAAATAATTCTGCCTATAATGACCCAATCTTCGTCAATGGTGACGATAATACAGCACGCTCCGTTGTGACGTGTCCCGAAAACCGTCACCCATTTTTTTAATTAATATTATATAGAAAACATATTTTTTATATGAATATATAATAAAAAACCTTTTACACTGGTAATTGATTATATTTGAACCTTAGTATACTAAACTACATTATTGTGAAAGAAAATCAGGAAGACTGTTGCTCTGCTTAGCTTATAAGAAATGGGTGGATTTTTGTCAACGTCTAACTTCCAACTAAAATAGTCGTTATTCCACGTAAATAAAGTGCGCCATTTAAAAAAAGATGTATTGCAACGTTTCCAGATATATAAAACAACTATTTAAAATTAATTATTATAGAATTTTTTCTCCGAGTTTCTTAATTTCTTAAAAAATATGGTAATATGACGAGAATTAGGACAGTGACGGTAATTGGGCATTTACCATAATGCGAAAAAGTGTCGATACATTCATCAGAGACGTGCGTATGAAATCGTTATATTATTAATACGTTATCACTGGAATATTTTTTTCTAAAAAAATTTCTAAAAAATTATATAGGCAGCATTTGAGATAATTACAAAAGACCTATTTTTTTAGAAGCTTTAACATCCTGTATCTTT